ATTATTGTTATTATTATTATTATCCTTTTTCTTTTGTGTACGTTATTGTTACTGTTATTGTTGTTTCTGTTGCTATGGTTCTCATCGCTACGTTATTGCATCAACACAGTGGATGGTCTCTCATCATGAAGTGTGCAATATTATTGTTTTTACAGACGCAATGACTGTGATCGGGTTTTTAAAACACTTTGGCCTGTCCGAGCACTTCAAGGTAAGCCACAGTTACTAACTGCCATTCTATACTAGCTATTCTATAAATTGCCGATCAATATATCGATCACCGTCAATCGATGTGGGACTGATTTATTTATAGATTTTAACTTTGCTGTAGCTTAACATCGAGCCAAACCATACGACACTTGCAGGTCACTGCCACGAGCATGATGTCACCATGGCATCAGCGTAAGTACCTGCCTGTTACCGCGCAAGTACCATCTATTGCCGCGAGTAGTTATAGTGACAAATCTCTCTCCCGTAATAAGATAATATTCTTCTCTATAACTTTCCCCTTCTCTCGCGCGGTCTCTCCCTCCCTCCTTGCTGCTATGACGGAACACGACTAATAATGCGGCTGTAATAACCGATTGTTATTGCCGCAGCAAAAAGGCTCCACGTCACTTGGCTGCCTCCTTGCTTTCTAACTCTCTCGCTCTTTCTCTCTCCCTTTCGTTCTTTCTTCCTCTCTTTCTCTCGTTCTTTTTCTCTTTTTCTCTCTCTCTCTTTCTCTCTCTCTCTCCCTCTCTTCCACACTCGTTCCTTCTCTTCTCTCTCTCGCTCTTATTCTTACCTTACCAGTGTCCACAGTATCTTTTTCCTCTCTCCACATCTCTCCGTCTCGCTCTTTATCAAGCCATGTTAAAGTATTGTTAAAGCAATCTCCTACACGGTCACACATTTGCGTCCTTGCGTACGTACAGGAGCGGACCCGTTTGGTGGCGGTACGTTGGTCAGGCCCTGGGATGACGGAACCAACACGCTGGGCAACTGCAAGCGCCGACTGAGAGTTGCTTTCGAGTTTTTCACGAAGCTCGGTGTCAAATATTGGACATACCATGATAGGTACGGGGCAGACACGAGAAGAAGAATAGTGGGGATGATAGCTCACGACAACGGAAAGTTACGTTTTTAGTAATTAGTGTTAATGAGTGTAGCGTCATAGACAGGTACTGATGTCGCGATTTATTACGAAATGCTAATTCAGAAAGAGAATCAGAACGAGAAAAAGAGAGAGAGAGATAGAGAGCAAGGAGGCAGCCAAGAGACGTGGAGCTTTTTTGCTA